AGTCCTAAAGTCGGGCGGGGCCGATTTTATGATACCCTACACCACTTTGCTAATTTAGTTGAGCTCCACATAACAAGTAAAAGTTTTTATGGGAGAATTCAATCATACACCCTATGATTATAATTATAATTTAAAATTTAAAGGACTAAATATGCCGAAGCATTTGTATCTTTTAAATTCGGACTTGTATTGCCCATTTGGTGCAAAATTAATTCTAAATCAGATAAAGATATATATGGTAGCTAAATACAAATCTGAACCGATCTCAATAAAATTTGGCAAAGGTATTTCTGAGCTGCATTTGATATATTTCCCCAAATATTGTTGTTACAGAGTGCATATAACGGCTGCGGAGGACAAAAATAACAAATCGGTTGAACAATACATATGGGAGCTATAGCTATATCTAAACCGATTTCCATCAAATTTGGCCATCAAATTTTAGGCCTAAATTGGTTGCATGTGCAAAATTCCATACTATTCGGGCTGATATTACACGTTTGGTGCACAATAAAAGGCAAATCGGACGAAGATATATATGGGAGCTATATCTAAATTTTTACCGATTATCTCCAATTCCAATAGGGTTCGTCCTTGGGCCAAACAAATGTTGTTTGGAAAATTTCATCTCAATCGGATAATAAATGCGACCTGCATTTTGTTCACAAGAATACATGGACAGACGGACGGACAGACGGACTGACATGCATAAATCAACTCAGAAAGTGATTCTATGCAGATCATCAAAAGGAACTATGGGTCTATCTCGTTTCCTTTTGCCTGTTACAAACAAATGCACAAAGACATAATACCCTGACCACCTTGTGGTGTAGGGTATAAAAATATATCGGAGCCAAGTGTAGGGTATAAAAATATATCGGAGCCAAGTTCCACAAAATAAAAACGTACGTCCCGAAATTCACTCCATTTTGGCTGATGTTAACCATTATTTGCGCAATAAACCTGAAATCGGATTAAGTATATATATGGGAGCTTTATTCAAATCTAAATCGTTCTCGATAAAATTTGGCAAAAGTATTTCTGAGCTCTATAAGATATCTGGTACCAAATATCATTGTTTTCGAATGCATATTATAAATATGAGGGACTTAAACACCGAATCGGATGAAGCATATGTATATATGGCAGCTATAGTAATATCTGAACCGATTTTCACCAAATTCTAGACTGAATTCAGTCGGATGTGCCAAAATTCACACCGTTTGGACTGAAATTAGCCATTTGGTGCATAAGAAACCTAAAATCGGATGAAGATATAAATGGGAGCTATATCTAAATTTGGACCGATTTTCACCAGTTTCAATTGGGTTTGTCCTTGAGCCAAACAAATGTTATTTAGAAAATTTCAACTCAATCGAGTAATAAATGCGACCTGCATTTTGTTTACAAAAATACATGGACAGATAGACGGACGGACATGCATGAATCGACTCAAATTGTGATTCTATCCTGATCACCAAAAGGAACTATGGGTCTATCTCGTTTCCTTCCCCATGTTACCAACAAATGCACAAAGACATATTACATTTACCACTATGTAGTGTAGGGTATAACAAGTTAAAACGTATCAGTCGGTTTTCTTGACAGATGTATGCCCTCAGGCAATGTTCGATTAATTAAATATATTTAGACTTCTGTTACGATTATTCAAACGATTGATTCTATATGGAGTAGGTTCCGAAGGAATGGGCCAATATTGTCCATTTCGTATAGGACCTAAATAAATAAAGTTTATATGAAATATGTGATGATTTTTAGAAAATGTTTAAATGTGCGTGAGGTACCAGATATATTATACCAAAGTATTCCATTTAAACACTCCATCTACTACAGATTGAAAATATTGATGTGAACAAATTAAAGAAAAATCGAACAATTATATCCAGTTTTATGCAAAATTATAAATTCCGATAAATGTCATATTCATATTCGGTTTCTGGTTGAAAGAAATATTAGATATAGTAAGTTGTAAAAAATCGCTGACATGTTTCGTAAGTTAGGACAGATATAAAAATTGAAAATTGTGACCCTTTGTGAGTGAGGTTGAAGGGGTCGGCAGATACCTATGACCTTTACAACAGATCTTGTGTAAGCAACAATGTTTAGATGTGTAAAATTTATTTAGTTTTTTTTTTTCAAAATTTTGATACCTTTATGGGAGAGGTACCAGAAGAAATTGTCCGATCTGTACCATCTTTATAACATATCTTGTGTTGATGGATATATTGAGATGTACCAAGTCTGAATGGAATCGGATGTTAATTTCGTGTTTTATGAGCTTCATGGTTAATTAAAATGTTAAACCATTGTGGGGGAGGTACCAGAAGGAGTGGACCGATATATTCCATCTTCTTGGGTTAACGAAAATATTGTGATGCACTTTATGCAGGTGGCTCTCAGCACTCTTTTGCATAACCAACAAAAATTTAATCGTTTTTCAAGAACTTCACTTGATTATACCAGTTTTTTTGATGTCATCACGTAATTTCCACTTATATTTAATTAAGGAATATTTTTCAACTGTCAAATATCCTACAGTTTTGGATATTTTTAACATTTGACCATTGAGTGATTTCACACATATCCCTCAAAGACATAGACGACATCTGCTGCTCCGAATTTCGATGATAAGCCGTAAGAATATTCCTTCGTCTATATTTTCATCAGTGAATGGAGCTACCAGCTGATTATAATGTTTTTTTGTGCTCGAATTCTGCCAATTTTGTGTATGTATTTATGTATGTATGTATGTACGTATGTATGCATTGGAATTGGAAGATTGAACTGTTTATACCATATTTATGAAGGAAAATCCACACCAGCTCATTCATTTTAACGCTAATTAACTCATTTTAAGAACGAGGAAAAATATGAAATAAGTAAAAACAACTTGTTGCATTTAATTTTGAATAATGCTAGCAGGAATCAGGTTTGTAATTTTGTAGTTTTGCGATTTTGAAATGGTCAATACAATGGTACAATAACTGGAGGCAGAATAAAGCTTCCTCTTAAATACAGATACACAAATTGTGCATGAGTTTGTATTGTAAAGAAAACAATTTGAAATTATTTCAAATTCAGTTGTTACAAGGTCAAAAATATTGAAAAATTCATCAGGACACAACTATGGTACAATAATTTACAAGGTAAGCTAGAATCTATTTCCCGGTCTACTCGGATTTTCCAGTAATTTTTGAAATTCTCCATCTATTTAAAGAATATATAATACCGTAATTTAAATCAAGAATTTTACTGAATCTTATATAATATAATCGTTGTCGTCTTGTTTGCTTATATATTAGAATTATCATAAATAAACGCATAAATTAAAGCATACTTTCAGGCTTTTGAAACTAGACACAAACAAAACTTAACTCTACTTTAACTTATTGCTTTAATGTACTTCGGCTGTGAGTTGCCGAAGTGTGTCAGATTGCCGGGAAACGTTTGCTGTGTGAAACGATGACTGCTATATTTAGAGTTGTCATTGTCTATTGTGGGCGTACCAGATGAATAAAAAGGCATGCATTTTACTTTGAATTAGTTTTTACTTTATTTATACTGATTTGATATACAGGGAAACTTTTCCAATGAGTTTTATATTGTTTTGTTTCCAATGGTGCGTCATCCAGCCGAGTACATTTCAGTTTTGTTTTTGTTCCCACTCATCTATGCGAACAGTACAAAAAAAACATGTCCCGTAATCTTAATATCGGTTTTGTTTCGATTTGTACTTCTAGAAAATACAGAACGAAACGATTGCAAACGTTTGATAAAGTTTATTTTCGTACGCTGGTTTATTATATTAGTGCTGCTCAAGAACAAGAGCCCTCTAATCAGTTAATTTCTCTTAGCTTTCTGAAATCATCAACAACATAGCACTTAAATATTATTTACTTCTTTATTGTTAATTATTAACTTCATTAATACTTTTGAACAAACTTTTTGTTTAAACACGATTGAAATAAGTCGTAGAATATAAATAAAAACAGAATATTAATTTCCCCTTGCGGACTCTTGTGCTAGCACACGGTTTTGAGAAACAATGATAATATACATAAATAATTAAGAAAAAAATCATGTTCTTCATACAAATAACAAAAATTAAGAAATTCTAACATTTGTGCAATATATATAAAAACGCTGGAACAAATTATAATATAACAATGTATTTCCTAATAATATCGTATCTATAATTTAAGAATTTTTTTTCCATTTTTGTAGGAAATATTTAAAATTAAATTATATAAGAAAATTGTGCAACTCATGCATACATGCAAATATTAGGAACTAATACATGTAATAATTTGAAATAACTAAACTATATGAATTATCCATTAAATTAGACCAAAAAATGGACTGAATGTGATTGAAGAATAATTATGATTCGGGCTATGAATTTATTACATCTTTTCGATAGATAATAACTAATGTTATTATAAGTTGATTATAAATAAGAATTGTCTGATAAGCAAAAGGCCAGAATTCATGTTGCCATATTTTATATTGATAATATGGCATTAACCGCAAAATGTATTCAAATAAAAAGAACTGGAAAACGCAAATCGTTTATTGCATATTGAGGAACTGAATTGAAGATTTGTATCAGGGAATGAATTACAAATTCTTGTTTTGTTTATTTTGTTTCACTTAAATGAAGATGCTACTGTGAAAAAATACATTGAAGCTCTCCAAGTGATTCTAGCTGGTAGTTGACTCTATGCAAACACGACTGATTCCTGCACAACATACCAAACCACTGCATCCTAAAGTTACTTTGTACATTATTCCAACTTATTGCTGAGAGGGATAAACAACTCAGATTGAAAACCAGTTGTCTTGTGTAAATGCTTGTTAAAGTTCAAAATAAAACAAGTTGTTGATTCCGCTTTGTGTTATTATTGGTAGCACTTCTCTCGGCACATTGTGAATCAATTTTCTATGGGCAGCACTTTTTCTTGGTTCCTCTTCGAGCGCTTTGCCATGTCGGCTGACGTAGCCCTAACGAAAAGGAATAGATTTAATAATTTCATTCTCGGATCTGTTCTAACAGGGAAGTTTTCACTGAAATAATCCAAGAAAAATAAATATTTGCTGAAATCTTTTGTTTTCTTTTCAAGAAATAAGGTAAGCATGTGTCCATTTTTGATTTGTTTTGTTTATTGAAAAGACACTTGTCGGAATTCATTCCCATTCATTATTATGGTTCTTATCCATTTAATTCTAATTACCTAAAGCATATTTTCAGGCTTTTGGAAGAATTGCATTTACTACAATCAAATTTGCAATGTTATATAAGGATTAAAAATTTTTAAAAATCTGTACTAATTTTAGGAAAATTCCATAATCTCCTAATATGTGGATTTAAAATTCCGGTATATCTTTTTTGGTTCATTATAAAATTAATTCAAGCAATATCTGTATCAACTTAGATCATATCTAGATTTATAATTTGTCTAGATTCACCACTTCTTCGTATCCAGAGAAATAAACTGCCCGAATTCGGTTCGATGTTGTTTTGGTTGAAGTCATTGGTCATGGGGAAATTCTGAAGTCTGAAGAAAAAACATACAGAATTCATTTGTGCATTATGTTTGGTAATAAATAAATAAGCTCTATAGGAAATTAACCTTAAATTCTTGGCTAAGGAAATTTACAGTTATAATTAATAAAAAACAGTACCAAAAATAGATGGTTGATCGACACACACATGGTACAATAAGGAGGTAGGCCCTCTGCCTGTCAGACATCTTCAAAATTATATACAACAAGTTTTCATTTTTTTTTTCATATTTTTTCTCGTATTTAAAATTAGTTTAATAGCGCGAAAAATGATGAAATGCCCTCTCAAAAATATGATCCAAACTGTTCTATATTTCAATTTCATGGCTAAACTGGTTAATAGCTTTAATGTGCGAGCCGCAAAGTACGTGTCTTCCAATTATTGGTTTTGAAAATATTTTGTTTTAATTTTTCAAAACAATAAATAGGGCAAGTGTACCAGTAGTCGGCACTTTTAGGATTTTCGATTTTTCAATCTTTCAACATTCTGAGTGAAATCTTTCAATTGCTAAATAATAAAGTTGTTCAGATTCCAAATTTTGTTTAGTTTTCGAAATAATAAACAAAAATTGAATTTTTTTTATTAAATTTGCAAGATTTGCAATTTTACTAAAATAGTAGTTTTTTGCCAGTAATGGGCACCATTTCCAAAGCTCGGCATGTCTATTTGCCAGTAGTCGGCATATGGTATTTCAGTAAAAAAATATTATTTTGTAATTTTTTTTTATTTCAAATAGTATAAAACAATGCCATATCACTAATTCACAGTTTAATCCAGAATTTGTAATTAATTTCGTTTTTAAATAGTGTTTTATTAAATTATCATTACCTTCAGTAACGTATGGATTTTCAGTTAAAATAAAAATGAGATTTAATAAAAGCAGAAGTTGGAATTTGTGAATTGATCTTTTTTCTTTAGATAACCAATTTTTCAAAAATGCCACCGCTATCTAAAACGTCAAATAGCTGATGTAAAAACCTACTTAATTCAGAAAGTTGGTCAAAACGCACAAATAAAACCAACTACCGACTCGAAACAATCACACGGCAGCGGGTTCTACGACACCGGATTGACCCGAAACAACAACGCTCCAGTTTCGGCCAGCGGCTGCCAACCCAGTGTATACATGTTCGTGTTTGTTTATTTTTCTGTTTTGGGAGCAGCACATCCCGGAATGCTTGCTCCGGATTCTTTTGGTCCGTGCCGGGCTTGAGGAAAACCCCGGACCATGGTTCTGTACGGTTTGCCAAAACACCATCCACCATAGATCAGTCTCGGTGCGATGTAATGGATGCAGAGGATGGGTGCATTTTAGAAATTGTTCCGTTTTAACCCGGTTGCGAGACTATAGCGATAGGGACTATGTTGCTTCGTGCTGCACAAACGTAGTCCCCAGTGAGTCCACGACCTCGTCGTCAACTTCCGAGTCGTCGTCGGAGTATGGAACTCCCCCGCAGTCTCCAGAACAGCAACCTTTACCGCAGCACTTAACGCCACATGTTGCTGTTCCAATTCCGGACAATGCATCATTCTTGCAGTTCAATTGCAACGGACTCCGAGGTAAAATTGATGAAATAGTGGATTTTATGAATCGGAGGAATATTAAGATCGCAGCGGTGCAGGAAACCAAGCTCAATGAAAATTGTAACTTACAACGTTGCAATGGTTACAACGTATTGAGGAAAGATCGCACCAGAAGTGGAGGTTGGGGATTAGCGTTCCTGATACACCATTCTGTTCAATGCAGACCTATCTCGCTTGAGCTAGTCTCTAGTGACCCGTACATGGAGTGTATGGGGGTAGCAGTCAAGTGTGGTACTGCCGAGGTAGAGGTGCTTAATGTGTATATCCCGCCGGTTAATAGCTTTTGGAAGGCAATAACCGCCTGGTACTAGGGGACTTCAATGCCCACCATGAGTTGTGGCATTCCGTCCTAGGTAATGACCAGAGGGGATCAGCGTTGGCAGAGCAGATTGACTGCTCCATATTTTGCACAGTAAACGAGGATGCCCCCACCCGAATAAGAGGAGAGTGATACTCGCCAGATTTAACCATCGTGTCACCCGGTCTGATAAATGACGTGACTTGGCAACCCGTCATTTCTCTTGGCTCAGACCATCTCCCGATAATCGTCTCCATCAGCAGATCGCCCGATTTCATAACCTCTGAACGCCGCACTTTCCTTAACCATGGGAAAGCCCACTGGCCCGAGTTCAGAGAGTTCACCAACCTTCGCTTCAGAGAACTGCCCAATCCTTCTGATGTTCGGGTAGCTGAAAGGATTTTCCGGGACATCATCAAAGCTGCAGCTGTTCGCTATATACCTGCTGGTCGAATACCCGAAGTAAGACCAAATTTCCCAACAGAGGCAGCGGGATTAGCGAATGAGCGTGATGAGCTCCGACGTACCAACCCTACTGATCCCACAGTCAGTGAACTGACAGTGGAAGTCAACCGGTTGGTACAGGAGCATAAGAGGAAAAAGTGGCTAGACCATCTGAAGTGTTGCAACATTGGAACCGATTTGAGTAAACTGTGGGTAACGGTAAAGTCACTCTCGAACCCTGGAAAAAAGAATGATAGGACAGCAGTCACATTTAACGACGTAACTGTGACTGATCCGAAGAGGTGCGCTGGCTGTTTTAACCGCCAATTTGTCGAGCACCCCGAGAGAGATAGGGCGAGGCGAAGAGTACTACGTCGTATAAGAGCTCTTCCCGCCGAGGATGTACCTCCACAGTTTACGATGGGTGATGTTGCGAATGTCATCCGAAACGCTATGTCATCTAAAGCGTTGGGCCCGGACGAATATCAATAGTAATGTTGAAGCAACTGGATACGCCGGGAGTTGAGTATTTAACCAAAGTCCTTAACTTGTCGTTAGCCACCCACATAGTTCCCGAAGCCTGGAAAATGGGCAGGGTGGTCCCGCTACTGAAGCCTGGCAAGGATGCCAGCAAAGGCGAATCCTACGGGCCAATTTCGCTTTTGTCGCCAGTAGCAAAGACTCTCGAGGCCTTACTCCTCCCCAGTATCAGAGGAAGCTATTCAGTTGCTAACCATCAACACGGTTTCCGTCCACTACATAGCACTACAACAGCATTGCACGCCATATCCACACATATCAGTCGAGGACTCAACCAGAACAGGCCGTGCCACAGAACAGTAGTGGTGGCTCTCGACCTATCAAAGGCCTTTGATACGGTCAACCATGCCACGCTGTTCGAGGACGTTGAGAACACTACCCTCCGGCCAAGTTTGAAACGTTGGATAGTCAACTATATGTGTGGACGCCAGTCGTACGTGGAATTCCGGAATAAGAAGTCCAAGCCTCGTAGAGTGAAACAGGGAGTTCCCCAAGGTGGGGTGATATCTCCGGAACTGTTTAACCTCTACCTTTCCGGAATTCCGCGCCCTCCAGACGGCATCGAGATCGTAACTTATGCGGATGATTGTACGATCATGGCGTCGGGTCCTGTAGTTGATGACATATGTGTCAGGGTGAATAACTATCTCGCGGAGCTTGCCGCCTTCTTCCACGCGAGGAATATGAAAATATCCGCCACTAAATCGACGGCCACACTATTTACCACATGGACTGTGGAGATGAGAACACAGCTGAATGTGCAGGTCGAGGGGCATACAATTCCGACCACCAACTACCCCAAAATCCTTGGGGTCACATTCGATAGCATGTTCAAGTCTTCCGCGCAAGTCACAGCTATTTGCGATAAAATGAAAAGTAGGAACAAGGTCCTCAAGGCGCTAGCCGGCAGCACTTGGGGTGCGGATAAGGAAACCTTGTTGACCTCTTATAAAGCGATAGGTCGGTCTGTGGTTAGCTATGCGGCTCCAGTGTGGTCGGCGAATACATGTGCAACGCAGTGGAAATATATTCAGACCTGCCAGAATGCCGCCCTGAGAACTGCAACAGGGTGCCTCCTCATGACGCCTGTGGACCATTTACATGAGGAGACAAAGGTTCTTCCCTTACGTCAGCATAATCATATGCTTTCGTTGCAGTACCTGCTTGGGTGTTATCGCGGGAGTCACCCTAACCACCATATGGTGGATAGAACTCCCCCACCCAGGCGTGTCACGAAGGACCTGCACGATCTAGAGAGAGAGGTCCAGCGATATAAGAGAGAGCCTCTAGATCATGAAGCCTATCAAGCGGGTCTGAATAGCATTCATACTGATGCAGTCGCAGAGGTAGTTAATGATTACAGTATGAATGCCATACTCGGAGTCCACCCCCCATCCATTGCAGCTGAAGAACGTCGGCTGCCTAGGCAAACCAGGGTAGTTTTGGCCCAACTACGTTCAGGATGGTGCAGCCGTCTCAATTCGTATTGGGCACGAATTGATGAGGATGTGCGGAACGCCTGCCCAGCGTGCGATACAGGCCCGCACAACACGCTGCACTTGTTTAATTGTCCTGCCAAACCTACCCAACTCCGTCCAGAGGATCTATGGCTACAGCCCATAAAGGTAGCAGAATTCCTAAACTTGGACATTGAGGAAGAACCGGATTAGTCGGAAAAAAAAACAACAGAACGTGTAAAACAGCTACGGCAACTAAAACAACCGACTCGAAACTATTTTTTTTAATTGAGTAGTTTTTGGATTATTTTTTAATACTTTTCTCAAGTTTTAGTGAAATTGGTCAAAAATGATATTTTTCTAGTAATCGTCACCCCCTGCCGACTACTGGCAAATCTCTTTTTTTCTGTTCCTAATGTCGGCATTAAATAATATAACAGAAAAATGCTTGATTTGTATATTTTTGAGTTATAAAATGATATTTATACTGTTATTTACTATTATAAAATATTTCTGGTTCCAAATGTATTAAATTTAATTTACTTAAATCGATTATTAAGTTGACGCCACCACTTATTTTTTCTTTACAAACAAGCACTATCGCACGCGTTGGAAGACTCTCACTGACGAAATCCGTTATTCGCTCGTAATAAATGATCGGAGATCATTGTTTTTTTACAGAAAGAGAGCAGAGAACACTGTTGACTTTTTTTTGCAATTATTTCATTATTTGATCAATTCTATTCTTAGTTATTTAAGTTTAAATTTCAAAACTGCCGACTACTGGGATATGCCGAACTTAGGCACACTTACCCTACATAAAATTGGCAGAAGTCGGTACACTCAGGAAAAAATTGTAATCAGCTGGTAGCTCTACCTTACCTTTTTATTGTACCATGGTCACACATACAAAAAAACATGTTTTCCTACCATATAATTAATAAGTAAAGGTACATCATAAAATTAACATTCTTGCGTACCACAAAAATGCTTCCAATGCTGCAAACAACACCCATCTTGCAAGCACAAGAAACTTCTCACAGACAAATTCAAGTCTCCATAAACTAAACTCCAACAGTAAATGAAGCAATACCTAAAAAACAAAAGAATTATTCTGGCAGAAGTCTTTTCATTTGATTGCTTTAATTACTCATACTATATTCTTATTCAAAATAACTGATTTCTTTGTTTGACTAATTTATTACTTTTTCCCATTTAAGTAACAGTGAGAAAATTTGCATGTAAAATGAGAACAGGAATCGTATCAGCATCGTAGAACTTGGGCTGTGAATTTTTACATTATCTTCGGAGTTGTATCATAATGGATTTATCAGATTTTATTGTTAGAAAGGTGACTTAAAACGGTAATTTTTTTATCTTACCTTTATATACACTATTTAAATTCCAGTGCCCGGCTACGGCGATGTACATACCCAACTTTATAACATCTGAAGAGGAACAACGTATACTCTCACATGTGGAAAGAACACCCAAACCGAAATGGACCCAATTACTTAACCGTCGTTTGATAAACTATGGTGGCGTTCCTCATCCCAATGGAATGCTAGCAGAAGAGATTCCACAGTGGCTACAGATGTATGTAGACAAAATTAATAATTTGGGATTGTTTGAAACACAAAAGGCAAATCATGTACTTGTGAATGAGTACCGTGCTGGTCAGGGAATAATGCCGCACACCGACGGGCCACTGTTCTATCCTCTGATTATGACAATTTCTTGTGGTTCACACACAGTTCTGCAGTTTAGTAAACGCGAAAATCGTGAGACATCCGCCGAATGTAACGACGGGGAGTCAAGTGCCAACCGAGAAGTTCTCTTCAAATTGATACTCGAACCAAGAAGCCTTCTAATTTTAAAAGATGAACTGTACAGTGAATACTTACATTCAATTGATGAAGTGGAAAGCGATGTACTATGTGATCGCATTTGTAACTATGAAAACTGTGAGACTACCTACAAGATGGGCGATTCTCTATTGAGAGGAACTCGTATATCCCTAACGATTCGCAATGTCCCAAAAACTACAAAAATGAAATTGAAATTTTTTTAGATTACACAGTGAATAGGCTACATTGCTGATGTTGCTTATCACCATCCTTTATCAAGTGCGTCAACTGATCTGTGTTACCAAAGTCTTCGTTATTACGCCTACGCTCCGCAATGTATTCGTGTGCACAAAAGCATTTCACCTCACCAGATATACGTATTTATAAAATTAACCACTTGAAGCGACGTGACCGCCCGGTACCGCTTCCTCGTTATACGCATTTAAAGCGTAGATGTGCAGTTCCATTATAGCTATAAGTAAATGTATTTTGCATAATCCAATATGTAACCACCGTATATTTTATATTAAGAAATTTACACAAGTGTCAAAAGCAATGCAAGAAAGAATTGTAAACGTTCAACGTTTTTTGTCCAATCTTATGTACCTACCTACATTGTTATCAAAAGCATCAATAAAGAGAAATAAAACAAGATGTCTTTTGAATGTAAAATTTGGAGTAGGCATAATTTCGAGAGCAAACGAAATACAGGTTTCTTATTGAGCTACATTAGCACGTATATTTGCTCTAGAATATACCTCTCTCCAATAGGTAATGTTGAGATAAAGTACTTTGCTGTGTCCTATAATATAAGACTAAAGCCGATATGGATGCAAGGAATATCCTCCAATTAACCAGAAATAAGTGGCTACAACATCACCATATCATAACATCGTGAATAAGTACGCTTCTAAACTACTGCAAATCTCTCTAATGCCTTATTTCCCCAGCTAAAACAATAAAAAAGTTTCTTATCTCTTCGTTAAAAAAGACCCCTACTCTCTATTTCCTCAATTCCTAGCGTAAAAAAGGAAGTGGTAGAATTTAAAATCTTTGTCATATTTGAAGCAAAACATAAATGTAAATGTGCAGTGTATATTCAAACTAAACGTTTATTTGATCGCAAATGCGAATTGAAATACCAATTCAGTATCAATTATTTTGTTAGAAATAAATCGGCGGCTACTCTGCATTATCCACCCACGTCAAGTGGAAATCTCTTTCAAACACTTTTTGATCGTACAAACGAAGGCCAGTGAGACGCGCTGATATATCCAAACGTAACTCCCTAATGGCCAAATGGAAGTTTTGTCTGGCTATACGTTGCTTATCCGGAGAAAGAGTTTCAAGGGGTCTTCGAAATGCGCTCTGTATTCTTCCCAAATGGTATTCTATGCTTGGACTGCGACCGAGACACAGCATTAAATTTTCAGGATTTCGAATGTGGGAAGGAAAGCGTTTATTTTCAGCAAAAGGAGCACATCCGCTCAACAAGGCACGCACTTCGTTCAAGATGCTTGCGTGGGTTCTGCTGGCGGTACTGCTTACCGCTTTGAATTCATATTTGTCGCAAAAAGCCATTAAGTCACCAATACAACACCATGGCATGGAAGCCAGAATTGCATGATCGTTTCTCCAATTGATGTATTTACCAACAGGTTCGTACAGGATGCTTTTTTCACTTGCACCTTCATTCTGCTTGTTTGGTTGTGGAGAGGATGATGGCGAGCGGGATTTTGCTCTATGTGGAGATCCACTTTTTGGTAGCGTAAGAGTTGTCCTTAAGTCGTGTATATTTTTCGATTCCAGTAATTCAAACGAGGTTGTACCCTTTGCTGCATTTTTCGATGGGGCCGAGTTGTCTAATGAGAAGGATACCATAGGTGACTCATTGTATGACAAATAACTTCTAGTCGTTGGAGAAGGCTTTAGTGTCAAGGACTCACTATATGATGTGCCCTTGGTAGTCGAAGGATATACCTCGTTTCTGACTGGCTGCAATTCATTATTTGATCCCTTCAAATTTACATTTCGAGACTCGTTCTTTGTTCCTACTAAATCACTGTAGGCTGTCATCTTAGATTTTAAGGAGTAATCTTTGTATTCACTGTTCAACGAGTCCTTTAAAGAAAGGGCCTCCGTCTTTGTCGACAAAGAATCACCAAATGATTTATATGGGACAGCCTTAGTTGCAATGGAACCATTGTGTTTATACTTAGATGTTATTCTCGCTAGTACAGTCAAAGTGTCACCAGTTGTGTCCTTCGACGAAAGCGAACCATTTGCCTCAGTATGTAAACCAATTGTGGGAAATTGCTGTTCGTTGTGTTGAGATGTCATTTCCATGTTTGCCACCGATGTCGTTTCTCTTACCGACCTTCTATATTCCATAAGCTTTTTTCGATAATTGCGATTCAAAGACATATCTATTTTTTATTTTTATTTTATTTTATTTTTTTTTTTGCCAAAACAGATTAAACTTTTGATATTCTTTCGAAATTGAAATTGAATTTAATTTTTTTATGCAATCGACGGCGAATAGGATGTTCCGCAGTGATGTACATCGCCAATTTGTTTGAAATACTTTTTCACATTGCAGAGTCATTGCATCGGGTTGATGGTCTATTCTTATTTTAGTTTTCGCATTTGATATTTTTACCAATCAATTGTTTCTAATCATCGAAAAGTAAAAGCAAAAAACAATTGAACAGTGGCGTAAAAAATGAATAGAAGATTCATCAGAAACCAACGCAACATTAAAAACTTTCTAAATGAACTTATGGATACGACACTGTAAAGCGTTGAAGATAATTATCTCATTTAGATTTATTTTTGGATGAAATCGTTGCAATTAAATGTTTTTGGTAAACAAAAAGACGTAAAAAAACCGCCCTCCCCGGTTCGGGTCACATTAAAATCGAAGCTAATTAAAAGAATGACATTTCATTAAATTAGTATTAGAAGATATGTCTACAATTATCATTGGATTTTTCTTTCAATTTCACCCCCCAAAAACTCACAGCTTTCAAATTTAATGTATATGAAATTTTTACCACAGCCAAATTTGAAATCTGCATTAGAAATACTTATTGTATTGCGTCTTGTAGTCCTCTATTTTTCAATTGCACAAAAAGTAAGTGATACTTCAGGCAAAAAAAAAAAAAAATACAAAAGCATCGGTTTAGAAACCTTTTGACAAAAACTTCACTTCGGGTATTAGGGTATTCTTGCCGAAAAGATAAGAAGAGTGGAGAAGAACGTGAAAATATAAAATTCAATGGATGGGTTAGCAACGTTATAATACACTTAACGAAAACAGAAGGTGTAGTTTACTCCAAACAGCCACTTGAGAAGCTAACAAAGGTTTTAGAATCTACACAGTTGAGGTTGGAAACATATTGTAGTTCAAACGTTCCAAATAACATGTGCCTCCTTTTTTAAAGGATGACAAAAGAGATACTCGATTCTAGTTATAAAGTCTTTGGTATTCAATGTCGTCATTCTCACATTTCCTGGTCATGGATTGATATTGCACTTAGGCTCCCCACCCGTCAAGCGTGGATTTCTTATTATAAACTATGTGTAAAGAAACAAGTAAAAAAAAAACATTAAGTTAGGCTGGGCCGAACTTTTTAAACACTCCACCTTAGGGTAAAGGAAATATTAGAACCAATTTTGACCCACAATTACCAATTTTTAGACATATTCGTGGAAAATGTGGCAAAAATCATCAAAATATCGAATATCGGGAGGTATTGCTATAAGGGGCTATACAAAAACGAGGACCTATACATACAATATTTCGCCAACGGAGCTAGAACCCATTAGGACACACAAATACCAATTTTCAGACAAATCCATGAAAAATCCATCCATCAAAAATCATCAAAATACCGAATATCGGGAGGTACCGTTATATGGGAGCTATACCAAAACGTAAACCTATACATACAATGTTTCGCCACTGCATCCAGAACCCATTATGACCAACAAATATCAATTTTTAGACAAATCCGTGAAAAAATTTGCCACATTATCTTCATCAAAATACCAAAAATCGGGAGGTACCGTTATATGAGGACTATATCAAAACGTGAGCGATATATCTATATATATATATTTTTTTTTTAATACCAACCATCCTAGACACAATTCAAATTGTTCTGCAAAATTTGACGCCTTCGTCAAATAATGTGGGCTGTATCGTGATATCAACAGACAGACAAACATCGTTAAATCGACTTAGAATTTTATGCTGATTGTGAATATATATGCTTTATGGGTTCTAAGACGAATATTTAGGGATGTTACAAACGGAATGACAAAGTTAATATACCCAACATTCCAAGGTGGAGGGTATAAAAATAGTTTTCTAATCATGCTTTTAATAAACTCAACTTCGTTAAATTTTTATTGGCTTTTTCAATTTTTTATTTTCGTTTATAACATGAAGGTCATGTTATGTTTGTTATTCCGTTTGTAACTTATCGAAACACATTAAATTTGGTACACATGCGTTTTGGATCAGAACTTAGATTAATTTCGAAAATGGGGTATGTCGTATCAAAAGTTTGGCCCGGCCGAACTTATTATGTTTTTACTTGTTTATTATTAGTTTTATTAACATGTTTACCAATTAATTTATTAATACTTAAACAGAATGTGATTTTATTATTTTTGACTTCGGGTTATATTTATACCCTACGCCACATGGTAGTAAGGGCATTTGGTCTTTATGCATTTGTTTGTAACATGGAGAAGGAAGCAAAATAGACCCATAGTTACTTTTGAGAATCTTCATAGAATCACTTTCTGAGTCTATGCATATTATCAGTCCGTCCATGAATTTTTGTGATATACTGGTAAACGAGGTTGGGTTTAATTAGTTTGGCCACTTTTAGCCACTATCCACATTATACGAAAAGTGGGATCATGTTGACAATATTTAGCACATTAGTTAGTTACACTCTTGGAGTCTACCATGTCAGAATATAGCAAATTAGATTAAAAAGAATCAAGAAGCTCAAGCCGAGGGAACGGTATATTGAAGCTAACATGTAGTTATCAGTTGCCAATTTAGAAGTTAAAATGACAAATTATTGTTATTTACAGACATTTCCATAGCTTTTGCAAAGTTTGGCATTCTACACAAAACTTTCGAAACTCTCAAAGCAAACACATAATTTTCACTTGTAGTCAAGAAGGTCCTTTTGACTAAAATGGGTGCTGACATATTTCATGTACTTCATCCAGTTCATATGTTTTTTTTTTTTTTTTTAACAGAGGAAATTTACTTATTGAATATCCTGCAATGTTATTAAACTTGGGGACCGTTAGATATCACATCCAGCCTAGCGGATAAATGGATATTTAAACAGTTATCTATATTTTACAGTAATGACTCTATAAGTCCCGCTATGGATTAATGTTAGGGAAAGGGGGGAAAGAGGTGTTAACGGTTGTGAATATTACCATAAACTGTTGTCCAAAATTACTGGTGGACGAACTGGCGCAAAAGATGTTCTGAAAAGGAAGAGAGGAGAAAAAGAGTATACGCAGCCTCAGTGCAGTAAAATCCAAAAAAGTAAGTAATTTTGCACGTATAACTCATTGGTATACCCATTTGCCCTTCATTTTTGGGCGAGTACACAATAAGTATTAGTATTATTACAGTTTGCGAAAAAAAGACAAGAGCCAAAGCAAAACCAGTAAGGAAAGGTCAAAAGTCGGGCGGGGCGACTTCATGATACGCTACACTACTATGCGTATTTAGTAGAGCTCCCGTAACAAAATAGTTTATATTGGGAATTTATGTGAAGGAGATCATACGAACTATGAATCTTATTTGAATGCGTATCTTGGTTTTAGATATTATTCGTGATGGAATTCAAGTGTGATAGTGAGATTTCTTTATATTTGGCTGGAAAACCACAAGTGGCTATCGTTAGAGCACTCCAGCATTTAAATGTGAATAATTCTTTTGTGTCTCGTACCATCGCTCGTTACCGTGATACTGGTAGCGTAGCCCGACGTCAAGGAAGTGGACGGAAGAAAACAGCAACATCAGCAGATATGGTTCAAAAAGAAATGAAGCGATTTGATCGAAACCCACGTCGAAGTGGCCGAAAAATGGCTCGGGAGCGGAACATATCGCAATATTCCATTCGGCAAATATTGAAAAATGAGTTCGGGGAAAAGCCATTGAAATTCCAAAAAGTGCAAGAACTTACACCGCAACAGAAAGGAAATAGGCTCAAAAGGCTTAAGAGTTGCTTCGCTTGGCCGAGAGTGGCGAACTGTCGAATTTGTTTTTTCCGATGAGAAAACATTCGTTGTCCATCAGTTTGTAAAGAGGGAGGAGGGTGGAGGGTGTATTAAAGCCTTGGGCACGCAAACATTTTGGCCGCAGACCTTGGACATTCCAACAGGACTCAGCATCATCGCACTCAGCATGTGCCACCCAAGAATGGTTACAAAATTAGGTTCCTCGCTTCATTTCCCGTGCACAATCGCCACAAAAATCTCCGGATAACAATCCGTTGGACTATTGTGTCTGGAGTATTTTGAAAAGCAAGCTTGGCACTAAAAAATACCAAAGTGTCGATCACCTCAAGCAAGCGTTTCGCCGACAATGGGCCAAAATACCGCAGAGCAACATTCGGGCAGCGTGTGACAGTTTCATTGGCCGTTTGAATTCCATAATTCGTGCCAAAGGTGACCAATTCGAACAAATTTAAACTTATTCTGAAATTTGATGCTATTTCCGACATTTTTGCTTTCATTCAATAAAATAAAAAAAAAAATTGTAAAAATTATGGAGTTTGACTTTGTTGCAGTTTTTTATCCCACCCTGTATATATGAGAGCTACAGCTATATCTAAACCGATTTTCACCAAATTTGAAGAACTTGTTTCTAGGATAAATTCTGCCAAAATTCAGTCCATTTGGGCTGATATTAGCCATTTGGTGCAAAATAAACTTGATATTGGGTAATGATATATATGGCAGCTATATCCAAATTGGATCAGATTTGGTAACATATATAAGTTATATGGTACCAAATATCATTCTTGTGGAGTGCATATTACGCATATGAGGGACTTAAAACCCCAAATCGGATGAAACATACATGTAGGAGATATAGCTATATCTGAACCGATTTTCACAAAATTTGATGTACTTGCTTCTAGACTGTATTTGGTCGCATGAGCCGCAATTCAGGTCATTTGGACTGATATTGGCCATTTGGTGTACAATTAATACGAAATCGGTTGAAGATATATATCGGACTAATATATAAATTTGAACCAATTCTCCACAATTTTAATAGGGTTCGTTTTGGGTCAAACAAAATTTTTTGGAAAATTTCATCTCAATCGGATAATAAGTGCGCCCTGTATTTTGTTCACAAAAACGGAAAGACGGACAGACATGCATAAATTGACTCAGAAAGTGATTTTATGAACATTCTCAAAGGTAACTATGGGTCTATTTTCTTCTCCATATTACAAACAAATGCCCTTACTATCATATTGCGTAGGGTATAAATATAAACCGAAGCCAAAAATAATAAAATCACATTATTTTTAAATATTAATAAAGTAATTGGTAAACGAGTTAATAAAACCAATAATAAACAAGTAAAAACATAGTAAGTTCGACCGGGCCAAACTTTTGATCCCCTCTACACACATTAGAAACTTCAAATACAAAATTTCAGACAATTCTGTTGTGGAAAGCCAGCAGAATACTGAATATAGGTTGGTACCCATGGTAGAAGATTACATGTAGTCGCATCGTCACAGCTGCTGAGACAATGAACTGTCAAACCAATTTTGAAATTGAAAATATGGAATGAAAAACAATTAAAATTTGTAAAATTTTTTTGAAAAATGCATTTCATAACAACCTCGTCCGATATTGATCAAACTTAGCGCTTCGAAATGTTTGTGCCCATATTAGAGCAATTGCTACCTCTCTCAAAATAGTTGAATAATTTTACAAAAAAGAAAAAAAAATGTTCATGTGAGAATATAGTTTGCCTTATATGAAAATGTTTGTGATTTTGGGATTGGTTGGCTTCTAGATTTTTGGATAATTCAATTCAATTCAAATTTATTGAGTCTTTGTTTTTTAACACAATTTTGAAGTGATGAAAGAAATGCTTAAAACTATAATTGGATAATGAATCCGTTGTTCATATTTTTATATGTTTTTTTAGTAGCAGATATTTCGATTAGAATCTCCAATCATCTTCTGTTAATAATTATTAATTGGAGTTCCTTGAAGATGATTGAATATTCCATTGGAAATATCGGAAAATAAAAAATATTTAAAACTATAATACCGGATTCATTATTTATAAAGTCAAAACAAAAAAATAAATAAATATATAAAAAATCTCATTTTCATTGAACGGAGTGCCCACTATAGTACGCTCAAATGTGAAAATGGACAATATTGGCTCACACATTCATTTTTGATCTTCAATTACAAAAATTACTTCAATTACAAATAAATAAAATACATATATGTTATATAAAACATATCGGTTACAGGAGCAGTTTTTAGTTGTAACCTGTGCTGCATCTTAATTTGAATTGACTATTATGCCGTATATAATCTCTCGTGCCAAATATTGTTGACTTAGAGTGTCTATTATGACTTGGGAAATGCTTGAATATAAAAAAGGTGAAACTGAGAGTCATACCTAAATCTAACTCGATCCAAAATGTACAGGCTTTATACTAGATGGATTCAAGCTAATCGGACAAACGTAACGTGGGTGGTGCATATCTGAACCGAATTTTCATTAAATTTCATGAACTTGCTTCTAGTCTAAATACATTCGTATCTGCTAAAATATATTTTATCTCAAAAACATTCCATTTGCATTTATATTAGGTAGCAATTAAAAATTTCCTTAAAAATTTTTCACCGAATGTTTTTTTTAGCCACGTACGAGGACAGTGCAAAAGACATAATCAATATTTGTGATAGCTCTGTTGTTGGCTTGTCGCATAACGGCCTTATAAAACGATGTATTAAAATAAAACGTGTAGTTATTTCTTTCAACATTTTGTATTTATTTGATTTGTTTTGTGGTATAATTATAACAATAATATTATATAAGATTATATTCTTAGTTTTAAACTGTGTAACTCATTTTTCGGTTGTATCAAATTGGAAAATATTTAATATATATCGTGTAAAATATAATTGAATACATGCAGTGTTTTAATTGTTATGTAAAAATATTATATTTGAATGTGTGTAAATGGTTAACATCTTCTATATAAAAATAAAGCGCTTATTCATTGCAAAGGCACACAGTCCAATGGTCCATTTTAACGGCCACTATCACCTTAAAATAGTCATATTTCATATAAGTTGGGAATGGCACCATGTAATTTGTTTAATAGCAGATAAAGTAGGCTATACTACTAACATTGACATTCTCTCATTTCAAACTTACTTTAAGTACTATAACCCTAGAACCGTGCTGATTTGAAAATTATATTTATCCTCTCTCTTGTATTCTTACATTTACAATTAAAGTTCCATAGTATAAAAATTAAAAATGCACAATTTCATTTTACTGTACATATAATACTTTTTCCGTATAATTTCCAGTTTCAATCGGCTGACTAATGACACAATAACATCAAACAATATTTATATAAGTTATATTAATAGTTATAAAAAAGACTCAACTTACAATAATAATAGAAATAATAATAATAAAATATAACGATTAATAAATTATAAACATTTCATATATGATGCATGCATACATGAATGTTTTTTATAACTTAGGCGGTATGTGTAAAAAAATAATTTAGTATAGGTTTTGGAAAATTTGGAAACAATATCAGACACAGTAAGAGCTCTGCTGTTGTTAGTGAAACGAATCAACGTAACATTGGAAGAAGAAATAAGAATGTATCTTAGAAAGTCCAGCTTTACTCTTAAACGCAGTAGTGTGTTGGAACTTCAAAGATAATATTGCCAGAAGCATGTCTGAAATTGGGATTTTCAACTCCAGCAGCTGCTTCTATCACAATTGTGCGTGATTTCCCTCCGAGGCGGCACATAATGTTGGGTGAAACATCTACTCTCAGTTCGCGGTTGCAGATGCTAGCGAAACGGAAATGTTATTCATATTAATAGTCTTTGAAAATATTTATTTGACTTACTCGTAGTATTTTTTGCACACATTGCCAACTAATTCGCCAATACGATCTTCCTTCAGTGGCCCATGTTCACCTTGTAGCGAAAAGACCAAATCATTGTTTTGTGGGGAATGGAATACGACCAATTGATCACGTCCTGTACTAATGCTTATGGAGGTCAACTAAAAAGAGATATACATTGTTAACTGCCTGATGAGCGCCGCTGACAACGCTATATTTCACTCTACTTACATCCTTTATAAATATTGATCTGTTCATATTTTTGAATTTATTCTTGGCACCGTCCAGTTTGTATATTGCACCTTCTGTAATTATAAAGGCTCGATCGGACTGTTTGTTGTGCTTATTGAATTTCTTGGCAAACGAAGAGAAGAGAACCGACTTGAAGCCATCGGCGTTTTTTAAGTTCTTGACATTTGTGCCATACGCTAGCGAAGCTGAGTTTTCGTGCGAATTCGCCAGATAGTCACCCAACCACTTATTCTGTTGTCCCCAATAGAGCCGGCGGCCTTTGATGGCTGTCGCTGCAATAATTTGGAGACGGAGTTGAGGCCATTCGCTTCTTGGATATTTGCGTAGGATCATGTACGCCCTCCAATTGTCGTAGATTCGTCTTAATCCCGGTTCGGCTCTTCGGCCAGCCAGCGGTGGGTGTGGCCATTGAATGCTTCGTCCATAATCTCTCATACTCTTTGCAGGTCGGAAACGGTTGGCCAATTCCTGGACATAAGAACGAAGCTTATATGTTTTGTAGGCCCTCATTATAACCATGGCCGCCTTCATCTTCTTATAGTTCTGACGGGCGATCCAACCACGCACTTGTTTCTGCAGCAATGTCACAATATGAGGTATCATTTCGTTGCGCTGTTGTTCCAACGAGAAAAGGGTACGCGGCGACCTTATGAATATCTTCGTATGGCCGTATTTTACGTCTTGACTAAAGCCCTTTTCTTCAATTAGAACACGAACACCGTCACGATCACTGCCGGCACGGAAGTTCGGCCAGGTATATTGTGAGATCATCTTGTAGCGTAGCAAGAATTTGTCATAACGTTGTCGATGAACAAAGCCGGCGCGACGAACGCGAACGTTTTCCAAAAGACCCAAATAACGCACTTGATGTTCGACGCGCTCGTCGTCGAAAACAGTGGGGCTCTTTATATCGTTTGGCTTGATGCAACGCACATAGAACGGTTCCTTCTTCAGAAGCGTATTAACCAAATCAATCATGGAACGTTGGAAAAGTGTGCCGGCCGTTAGTGGTCGTTTGGTGGTTGCCTTAATATCTTGAGCTCCTTCGGGCCACATCTCACTCAAATAACTGTTCGACGAGTGGTGCAACAAACGTTTGAAATCTTGATATAAGGTATCCTTATTTTTCTCTATGAAACCATTTATGCTGTAAATTACATCGCCAGCATAGTGAGTGATACGAAAGTCTTCGCGGTGCTTCAGTTCCTTGTCCATGGGCTTTAGTTGTCGGCTCGTGTAATGGGGATGTTTACTAAGATTTTTATCCATAGCCTCCAATAATGTTACATCGGTTACTTTGCCTACACTCAGACAGGCTTCGTCCATAATTGCAATAATACCTTTGTGGGGTTGCTCCACCAAGTCACAGATTATCTGCATACATTAAAGAGACGGTCGTTATTTAGCTGGTCTTTATTTGTTGTAATGACAACTTACCTTGTTGTTGAAATATTCTATATTTTTCCATGCTATTCCTTCTCTCTGATATTCCTCCTGTTCTTGTTTCAACACCAGTTCTATAGGGAAAAAACAGACATATTCAGAGCAAGTATTAACTTGAGCATAGAAATTTTTAAAACTTACCAATAAATAATTGTTGTAATTTTTCATTGCAATAGTTAATGCAGAATTGTTCGAAGCTGTTCGAATCGAAGATTTCAAAACCATAGATGTCCAAGACTCCAATAACCGAATTGAAACGAGCCTGTGTCTTGGAACCGCGGAATAGAATGGCTCGGTTAATGCGTGATATGATCCAAGTAAAGAGTCGATCATATATGGCCTTTGCTAATGCATCTTTTCCGTATTCAGCTTGACTGGCATTGTGATCCTTTCTCATGACATTGCCACCAGCAGCAATTACACGCTTCATCAATGACGTGGAAAGCTCGTCTGGGGTGACTTGCAGGAGTTGTGAAGCCCACTGCAAGTGAGACTTGTTGCTGATGACTAGCTCATCTTCAATCACTACAGAGGAACATGAAAATAACATATGAGTAACCTACCCTGCATTAGGTTATAATGCACTTACTTTGAAATTCAATATTGCCCAAATGTAATATGGCTGCTATAATACGCCAAATTGTTGAAATTTCTTCCGTGGAGAAGCCAAGTGTTTTAAATGCGGCATTTGTGCTCTTGTAATCGTTTTTCTCGCTCAATATATCCATGCTACCTTGATTCATATAGTAATATTTGGATGGATCCCTATTGAGATTGTATTGTCGCAGTTCATTGTCGCTTGCACCACGCAAAAGCTAAAACAGAAGCCAAATTGAGTTATCGCCGAACTTATAATAGATTTCTTAAACCTAAACTATCAGAAAACACATCTGATGACACACAAATTTACAAATTAAAATATACATGCATATACATTTCATTCATGACCAAATCTCATGAGAGGACGCTCTACCACTTTCGTGGCTCCCTGTAATTAATGTTGCTATTATAAAATTGTTGTGATGAGCTCTCATGTTGTGGCTGTTTATGACGATGACGTTATTTTAATTGTTACAAAAATTGTACAACATTCTGAATGGGATGTCACCAGTACCAACTCGTATATCCGCAACTCATATTGATTCGATTAACAAAAAAAAAATTGTATATATTGAAGAATTATAACAAAAATTACAGAATTATAACATTCGTAGGCGCGTGTTTTTTTTTTTTCAAAAGATTGTGTGTGTGCTTCCCTAAAATTTAAGATATTTGTATTTTCTCAAGATCAAGTCTATTTTGATGTGTATATTTAATTTATTAATTTAATTCCATTACCAAATGATTGGGTTTCTAATCTATGTTTGGCTATCGAAACTATCTACCAATCAACCTTCTCAATCCCACGGCAGCGGGTTCTACGACACCGGATTGACCCGAAACAACAACACTCCAGTTTCGGCCAGCGGCTGCCAACCCAGTGTATACATGTTCGTGTTTGTTTATTTTTCTGTTTTGGGAGCAGCACATCCCGGAATGCTTGCTCCGGATTCTTTTGGTCCGTGCCGGGCTTGAGGAAAACCCCGGACCATGGTTCTGTACGGTTTGCCAAAACACCATCCACCATAGATCAGTCTCGGTGCGATGTAATGGATGCAGAGGATGGGTGCATTTTAGAAATTGTTCCGGTTTAACCCGGTTGCGAGACTATAGCGATAGGGACTATGTTGCTTCGTGCTGCACCAACGTAGTCCCCAGTGAGTCCACGACCTCGTCGTCAACTTCCGAGTCGTCGTCGGAGTATGGAACTCCCCCGCAGTCTCCAGAACAGCAACCTTTACCGCAGCACTTAACGCCACATGTTGCTGTTCCAATTCCGGACAATGCATCGTTCTTGCAGTTCAATTGCAACGGACTCCGAGGTAAAATTGATGAGATAGTGGATTTTATGAATCGGAGGAATATCAAGATCGCAGCGGTGCAGGAAACCAAGCTCAATGAAAATTGTAGCTTACAACGTTGCAATGGTTACAACGTATTGAGGAAAGATCGCACCAGAAGTGGAGGTGGGGGATTAGCGTTCCTGATACACCATTCTGTTCAATACAGACCTATCTCGCTTGAGCTAGTCTCTAGTGACCCGTACATGGAGTGTATGGGGGTAGCAGTCAAGTGTGGTACTGCCGAGGTAGAGGTGCTTAATGTGTATATCCCGCCGGTTAATAGCTGTGAACCGCGTTACTTGCCTAATATAAGCCCACTTTTGGAAGGCAATAACCGCCTGGTACTAGGGGACTTCAATGCCCACCATGAGTTGTGGCATTCCGTCCTAGGTAATGACCAGAGGGGATCAGCGTTGGCAGAGCAGATTGACTGCTCCACATTTTGCACGGTAAACGAGGATGCCCCCACCCGAATAAGAGGAGAGTGTCACAGTTCGCCAGACTTAACCATCGTGTCACCCGGTCTGATAAATGACGTGACTTGGCAACCCGTCATTTCTCTTGGCTCAGACCATCTCCCGATAATCGTCTCCATCAGCAGATCGCCCGATTTCATAACCTCTGAACGCCGCACTTTCCTTAACCATGGGAAAGCCCACTGGCCCGAGTTCAGAGAGTTCACCAACCTTCGCTTCAGAGAACTGCCCAATCCTTCTGATGTTCGGGTAGCTGAAAGGATTTTCCGGGACATCATCAAAGCTGCAGCCGCTCGCTATATACCTGCTGGTCGAATACCCGAAGTAAGACCAAATTTCCCAGCAGAGGCAGCGGGATTAGCGAATGAGCGTGATGAGCTCCGACGTACCAACCCTACTGATCCCAGAGTCAGTGAACTGACAGTGGAAGTCAACCGGTTGGTACAGGAGCATAAGCGGAAAAAGTGGCTAGACCATCTGAAGTGTTGCAACATCGGAACCGATTTGAGTAAACTGTGGGTAACGGTAAAGTCACTCTCGAACCCTGGGAAAAAGGATGATAGGACAGCAGTCACATTTAACGACGTAACTGTGACTGATCCGAAGAGGTGCGCTGGCTGTTTTAACCGCCAATTTGTCGAGCACCCCGAGAGTGATAGGGCGAGGCGAAGAGTACTATGTCGTATAAGAGCTCTTCCCGCCGAGGATGTACCTCCACAGTTTACGATGGGTGATGTTGCGAATGTCATCCGAAACGCTAAGTCATCTAAAGCGTTGGGCCCGGACGGAATATCAATGGTAATGTTGAAGCAACTGGATACGCCGGGAGTTGAGTATTTAACCAAAGTCCTTAACTTGTCGTTAGCCACCCACATAGTTCCCGAAGCCTGGAAAATGGGCAGGGTGGTCCCGCTACTGAAGCCTGGCAAGGATGCCAGCAAAGGCGAATCATACAGGCCAATTTCGCTTTTGTCGCCAGTAGCAAAGACTCTCGAGGCCTTACTCCTCCCCAGTATCAGAGGAAGCTATTCAGTTGCTAACCATCAACACGGTTTCCGTCCACTACATAGCACTACAACAGCATTGCACGCCATATCCACACATATCAGTCGAGGACTCAACCAGAACAGGCCGTGCCACAGAACAGTAGTGGTGGCTCTCGACCTATCAAAGGCCTTTGATACGGTCAACCATGCCACGCTGTTCGAGGACGTTGAGAACACTACCCTCCGGCCAAGTTTGAAACGTTGGATAGTCAACTATATGTGTGGACGCCAGTCGTACGTGGAATTCCGGAATAAGAAGTCCAAGCCTCGTAGAGTGAAACAGGGAGTTCCCCAAGGTGGGGTGATATCTCCGGAACTGTTTAACCTCTACCTTTCCGGAATTCCGCGCCCTCCAGACGGCATCGAGATCGTAACTTATGCGGATGATTGTACGATCATGGCGTCGGGTCCTGTAGTTGATGACATATGTGTCAGGGTGAATAATTATCTCGCGGAGCTTGCCGCCTTCTTCCACGCGAGGAATATGAAAATATCCGCCACTAAATCGACGGCCACACTATTTACCACATGGACTGCGGAGATGAGAACACAGCTGAATGTGCAGGTCGAGGGGCATATAATTCCGACCACCAACTACCCCAAAATTCTTGGGGTCACATTCGATAGCATGTTCAAGTCTTCCGCGCAAGCCACAGCTATTTGCGATAAAATGAAAAGTAGGAACAAGGTCCTCAAGGCGCTAGCCGGCAGCACTTGGGGTGCGGATAAAGAAACCTTGTTGACCTCTTATAAAGCGATAGGTCGGTCTGTGGTTAGCTATGCGGCTCCAGTGTGGTCGGCGAATACAAGTGCAACGCAGTGGAAATGTATTCAGACCTGCCAGAATGCCGCCCTGAGAACTGCAACAGGGTGCCTCCTCATGACGCCTGTGGACCACTTACATGAGGAGACGAAGGTTCTTCCCTTACGTCAGCATAATCATATGCTTTCGTTGCAGTACCTGCTTGGGTGTTATCGCGGGAGTCACCCTAACCACCATATGGTGGATAGAACTCCCCCACACAGGCGTGTCAGGAAGGACCTGCACGATCTAGAGAGAGAGGTCCAGCGATATAAGAGAGAGCCTCTAGATCATGAAGCCTATCAAGCAGGTCTGAATAGCATTCATACTGATGCAGTCGCAGAGGTAGTCAATAATTACAGTATGAATGCCATACTCGGAGTCCACCCCCCATCCATTGCAGCTGAAGAACGTCGGCTGCCTAGGCAAACCAGGGTAGTTTTGGCCCAACTACGTTCAGGATGGTGCAGCCGTCTCAATTCGTATTGGGCACGAATTGATGAGGATGTGCGGAACGCCTGCCCAGCGTGTGATACAGGCCCGCACAACACGCTGCATTTGTTTAATTGTCCTGCCAAGCCTACCCAACTCCGTCCAGAGGATCTATGGCTACAGCCCATAAAGGTAGCAGAATTCCTAAACCTGGACATTGAGGAAGAACCAGATTAGTCGGAAAAAACAACAGAACGTGTAAAACTGCTACAACAACAACAACAACCAATCAACCTTCTAACCCATTACTTTTTAAGGACTTGTCTCACAAAATAAGTTGTTATTTTTAGCCAAAAATCGATAAATATGTAGAATCAAAATTTGAACTCCCAATCTTATGGTTTGTAGTCTTATCCACAGTGTTCCACCATTACAAACATTAAGGACTGTTTCAAATCTTGTGTTATTATTTTTTTTCGTTTGCAGGGATTTGATATATTTTTAGGAATAGCCCAATAATTACAAGAGGAAAATGTTTAATTGTTTGTTTGTGATTTATAGACTCTAAGAACCGCAGAACAGATTTCCTTGAAAATTTCCATATATATTATGGCATCTCCTGAAAGTAACAAAGGCTATATAATCTTTTAAATTGAAGTTGGAACTGGATATAGCATTAGAATCGGAGGTACCCCCAAAGATCGGAAGAAAGATTGATCGGATATAGATACAGTCTTCAAATTTGGAATGATTGACGGAATTTGGTACAAAAAAGAGTTTGGATATAGCTCCCATAATGAATGGAATAATTTTAACAGCTGTCGGACGAGTGGCTTAGAAATTACAGCAGCAATATATATATATATATATATATATATATATATATATATATATATATATATATATATATATATATATATATATATATATATATATATATATATATATATATATATATATATATATATATATACGAGTGGCTTAGAAATTACAGCAGCAATATATATATATATATATATTGCTGCTGTAATTTCTAAGCGACTCGTCCGACAGCTGTTAAAATTATTCCATTCATTCTATTGTTTACAAGCGTACAAAAGCATTTTGGTGACAATTTTCCAGAAAAAAAGTTATTTGTGATGCAATTCAAGCGTGATAGTGTGATTTCTTTATATTTGGCTGGAAAACCACAAGTGGCAATCGTTAGAGCACTCAAGTATTTCAATGTGAATAAATCTTTTGTGTCTCGTACCATCGCTCGTTACCGTGAATCTGGCAGCGTAGCCCGACTACAGGGAAGTGGACGGAAGAAAACAGCAACATCAGCAGAAATGGTTTGAAAAGTAAAAAAAGCGACTTGATCGAAACCCGCGTCGCAGTGGCCGAAAATGGCTTGTGAGCTGAACATATCGCAATACTCCATTCGACAAATATTGAAAAATGAGCTCGGGGTAAAGCCATTGAAATTCCAAAGAGTGCAAGAACTTACACCGCAACGGAAAGAAAATAGACTCAAAAGAGCTAAAGAGTTGTTTCGCTTGGCGAAAGTGGTAAACTTTTGAATTTTGTTATCTCCGATCTGTTGGACTATTGTGTCTGGAGTATTTTGGAAAGTAAGGTTGGTACTAAAAAATACCAAAGTGTCGATTACCTCAGGCTAGCGCTTCGCCGGGAATGTGCCAAAATACCGCAGAGCAACATTCGGGCATCGTGTGACGGTTCCATTGGCCGTTTGAAGACCATAATTCGTGTCAAATGTGACCAATTCAAAAAAATCTAAACTTATTCTAAAAGTTGATGCTATTTCTGACATTTTTTGCTTTCATTCAAAATTTAAAAATTATGGCGTTTGACCTTGTTGCAGTTATTTTTTATCTCACCCTGTATATACTGGTGAAATCAATCTCGCTCTCAAGATAACCAATGTGTACTTGGATAGTGTTGTTCGCCATGGCTAGGCGAATTACTACTCACACTCTTCTTAATTACTTAATCATTTTACTTAGAAATGTGAAAAGATCAGATGATTTTTTTTTTGTTCAGTGAGCAACATATTGTAAAGTGCTTTCGCTTTTTAAATAACACATTTTAGAAAACATTTGTAGGCGTACAAATGCCGAAGCTTTTCATATTCCAAGATAAACTACTAAACATAAAAATATCTACAGCAATAATCGTTTTGTTTCTCAATAAATTATTTTAATTCATAATCGAATTATAATTTAGATCTTTGTGGTATTTGTTTTTTGTCTAAAATTATTGTCGTTTTCCAAGTTTATGTAAGCCAAGACTTTGGTAAAAAATGTTTCTAAAAACGTGTCACATGTACAAATATGCATGTTGTTTTTTTCTTTTTTATGATCCATTGTTAAAATATAATCAACTAACCTGATAGAAACTATGGAAATTTCTTTCTCCCGGTTGCTGTTGCACCACTCGGGATTTTTCCAGCAAATAATTAGTTACAATGCCACCAACTGGATCTGCCTTATAATCGAACTCAATATCCATGTATTTGCCAAAACGACTGGAGTTGTCATTACGATTTGTCTTCGCATTGCCAAACGTCTCCAAGATGGCATTACTTTGGATCAGCACATTTTTCACTCTGCAAATAAAATGCAATAAAAAGTATTTTGAGATTATATTTTTTTTAATATCTTGCAATAATAATAATAATAAAAGTTATATTTATGAGTGTAGTTATCAGTTAATGCCCAGAACTAAAATTAAAACCCATAAAAAGGGTCAAATTGACTCGAAATTAAATTTTCAATTTAATATCACTTTCAATTTATTGCTAATATTCATTTAATGGTTTTCAGTGGTTTCACACACTCTTAAGGGGACGTTTTGTAGCACACGCTAACATCATTATTGCTCACTAATTGGAAACATGAAGAGTCACCATGACAGAATGCCACGAAGGGCCACAACATAATTTGACGTGTTGCAGGGATAATACGAATGACTGAAAAAAAAAAAAACAAACAAAACTAGTGCATGGGATTTAAAAGCGGCTGCCGTTGTACTCCGATATGATGCGTCATCGTGTCCATATACTATACAATAGCTCAATAAAATGACTATTAATGGCTTAGGTGTGGCCTGGCAAAGTGTATTTTGATGACTTTAATTCTGTAATGGAGAAGTGTTTAAGTGAACTTAACACATAACTTCAAATTGCTTAAACGAGATTAAGTGGAGAAAATCGTCAACTGAAATGAAAACTCGCCTAATTTACATTCATTTCTATTTTGAAGATTCTTATTTTAAATATTAAAATGTCCGTTTTAATTCCACCTTCAAACTGCAGGATGCAACTTTATGTGTTACGCCTGTTTAGTAGTATGAGACATTTTAGGATTTAGATATCTATGAAATTATCAACACGATTAAATGATTCGCTTTACATTCCCTCTTGGGCCTTAGGGTACGTATTTAATACTTGGTTATATCCCTCCTTCCCAACAAACGGAAAAATTGAAGAATATTGAATAGTGCTCTCAAGTTTCTGGTAAATAATCTATATCTATAAAGGAGAAAAATGTTTGTACGTTCGATTGTTCGTTTGTAATTTATGGACTATATACATTTTTAAAATTCCACTGGGAACTGGAGATATGGAATTAGAATCGGAGGTAACTCCAAAAAATGTAGATACTGTATGCAAATATCTTTTGGTCGGTTATAGATTCAGTCTTCAAATTTTGGATGTGTGTCGGAATTTGGTAGAAAAATAAATTGACCAAATTATTTTGGAATCGATTCAGATTTGGATATAGCTCCCATATAGATTTTCGTCCTATTTCATATATTTGATACATTACCAATTTCAATGAAATTTAAAATGTGTGATGGAATTTGATCTAAAATCGGCTCAGATTTGGATATAGCTTCCATATATTTTCGCCCAACTTAATTATTTAATGCACCAACAACTATACATATGTCCGATTCAAAAAAAAAAAAAAATTGGAATAAGTATCGGAATTTGGTACAAAAATAAATTTACCAAATTATTTAAAATCGGCTCAGTTTTGTTTGTAGCTCCCTATTTTTTTTGGCCGATTTCATTTATTTGATGCACCAACGCTATGTACCTCCCATTTCAATGAAATTTCAAATGCGTAACAAAATTTGACGCAAAACTAAATTTTCCAAATTATGTTGAAATCGGTTCAGAATTAGATAGAGCTCTCAAATATATTTTATGATTTTATTTTTTATTTGATGCACCAAACACGCTAAAAAATGGCAAATCATATTGAAATCGGTTCACGCTATAAATCTTTGATTTCAATGAAATCTGGAATGTGTGACGGAATTTGGTCTACAAATAAATTTTAAATGCATATGATACGAAAGGAGTAGCGAAGTGCGCCGGGTTCGGCTTGTTCGCTATAATGTTGGAAACTGGAAAATTGCAAACGAAAATTTTCTAATTGTTGAGTATTTCTAAATATTAGTAATAGAGTGCCTTTGAACCACAACTTGTTTCATTTTATGTTTAACATTAAACTAGTAGTCAGTAATGAAAAATTAATCGCGGTTTATTGTTTTTTTTTTACCTAAATTCCACGCCGATTGTTCAAAATGTATATTGTAGGGTATAAAAACAAATAAAAACATGAATACATATTCTATTAATTCTCTTTTTGTTGCTCACCTTTCAATTTCATTCTGGCCATGAATATTTGTGACAGCAGCTATATATTTCATTATAATTTTTGATGCTTCCGTTTTGCCGGCACCTGATTCGCCGGAAATCAAAATACACGTGTCCTGTTGGCGTTGTTTCAGTATTCGATATGCAGCATCGGCAATGGCGAATACGTGTGGCTGATTTTCGAAAAGTTCTCTCCCCTTGTATTTTTTGATCGTTTCGGGACCATAGATGTTCATTTGTCTGTAGGGGTTCATCGAAACGCACACCTCGCCAATGTATGTGTAAATGGAGCCAACTTGAAATCTGTAAGAATGAGAAAAGAAAGACGGAATAAATTACTAACAATAAATTCATTCAATATTTTATTCATAATAAACAAACAGATAAGATGTGGCGCAACTCAGATGGTGCCATCATCATCAGGCCCATCTCAAACCTAGCAGACAAAATATATTCCAAACAAACAATAATTATCCCATCATTATCATTATATGTCAATGGGTCGTCTGTTCGTGTACATTCATTGCACTTGTCCGTCCATCCAATCCATGGCGTTTGTCGATAGTCTCACACCTCCGGAATCGATGCATTGGGGCTAATTGCATTCCGAACAATCAACAGGTGTATTTTTGAGCATCATTCTCTATTGCCGGGATCAATCAACATAAATTTGGCGCCACACAGTGGTGCTTTATGATCGGTTTGAGAATTCTACCCATTTTGTGAATCATTTTCTTGTAGTTCGCACCTACCAAACCACAAGAGGCGGTATTATGGATCAAAAGTAAACAATTTTCAAAAATACATTTAATCAGAACAATCAATGATTGATAGCTGAATGGAGCATGGAAATAAAATTAATGACAAACACAAATTCTTTCAATATGCAGAAGAAAGTAACATCCGAACCATTAACGAAATCGTTACAATGGTGCTGAAATGTAAAAAGTTTCGCCATATCGCTAATGGGGGAAAACAGACAAATTACCATTAACAACGGAAATAACAATTTAGAAGTCTTTAAAAAAATGTTTTTTTTCGAACGAAAATCATTAAAACATAATTAAGAACGTGTATAAGAACGAAAGTAAATCTGGCAACTTTGTAGTATGTCGCTGTTTTAGCAACCTTTTTCAATTGAATTATGAATTGATGATTTGGCATTGAAAATGTTATTTCATTCAAACAGGGTTTAAACATGATACCATAAGGAGGTAGAACAGCTTCGGGAAACTACAGAAATGCAGCTCTGAGGCTATGCCTGCTTCCTGTCAAATTTGCAAACAACAAGTTGTTTCCTTTTATTCAATATTTTTCCTCATTTTTAAAATCATTCAAACAACGGGAAAAATGAATGAAATGCCTGGATTTTCTTTCATTAATATGATCTAAACAATTTTATCTTTCAATTCCATGGCAAAACTGGCGACTAGCTTTAATGCGCGTCTCGCAATATAAGCGTCTCCCAATCATTGATTTTTAAAATATTCTGTTTTCATTTTTCAAAACAATAAAACAATTGTTGATTGATGAAATAATATAAAGAAACTCAATTCAAAACATTAACGAAACGATAGAAGAAAGAAACAAGAAAAACATAAACTTTAGCTCAAACTTTTTAAATTTGTAAGTTCTGAAGTACACCGTATATTTTAAGGTGACTTGATATTGAAAAGTGGAGACCTTACCTTTTCTAATGACGTTATATCTCCGTAAAAATTCCCATTACCAAATAATGGGTTTCCTAACCAATTTTATTTTCAATAGACATATCAACCCCAAAAGGTAAAATAAACATATTGCCAACTGTATTCCGTTAGTTATGAGTTCAGGACTCAGCGCCGCTCTATGACTATGACGATCGTAATAGATTCAACCTCCTGTGGTTGAATCCATGTTTTCATAAAGTCTCCCTATGAATTACCAAGGTATTCAGTATTTTCAAGATTTAAGCTACATTTTTCAAAGAAAGTGTTTCAAATTCGATTGTTGATGTTCACAATAGATATAAACCACTGCACTATGGGGCCAATGGCATGTATTTGAGGCAAAAAATCACAGGGACGAGGTAGTCCTTCCAAAGTTCGTTTTTAGGTGCTGGTTATAATCAGAACAACATCTGCCGAATTTCTTTCGAATCGGCAAGAATATAGATATGCCTTCCACATATAACTTTCATCCGATTATAGATTTAGGCCCCACAGAGTCTTAATATGAACTCCATAACAATGACATTCGGTACGAGGTATTAGATACAAATTTGTTCGAAATCGTTTCAGATTCACATATAGCTCCCATACATATTCCCCTCAATTTTTTGTGTAAATGATACACCGTTTTAGTTTAGTTTTGTGCATGAATGTCATTAGTTAGCTTTTTCATGGTCTTAAAATATTTATCGATAATATGTGAATTGCTGAAATACAGTTTATTACGTTTGTGGGTTAACGCTGATTTTCCAGCCAAATGTTAAAAAATATATTTCACTTTTTGAACGTTAAGCTACTTGAAGTTGATTTTTTTTTAAGTTGCAAAATGGTGCAAACTACTTTTTAAAAATATGATAGCCCGCTTTATTACCATTCACCACATGTAGTATATTGTTTCCCAAATACGCCCCAAATGACGAAAAGAAAATATGACATCTTTGACAACTCGGCATAAGGCTGTAATAATTTGTTGCCAGATTGTAATTTTTTGTTTTCGAGGTTTTAAAAGTGTTCTGAACATAATTCCGTTAATTTTTTATTCAGACTACTAACTGCAAAATATGATTTGTTGTCTCAAGAACATGCCATCGGTCCCATAGTGCACTGTAGCGAACAATTTCCTACATGCATTAACGATTTACTATAGCCCACATATAACGGTACCTCCCGACATTCGGTATTCTTATGATTTTATCAACTTTTTTAAAGGATTCGTTAAAAAATCTTTATTTTTATTCTGAAATGGGATCCACGAACACTGTCTATATAGGTCTACGTTTTTCTACATCCCCCATATAACTACCCGATATCGGGAAGATTTTTGCCACAATTTCAATATAATTGTTACAAATTTGGCACTTGAAACTCTCAATATACAATACAATATCTCACGATGCATATTGTGCATTAATTTAAATTAAATAATGTAAACAATGATCATTGTTGAATGCGCAATGCGGCTTTATATATATATATATATATATATATATATATATATATATATATATATATATATATATATATATATATATATATATATATATATATATATATATATATATATATATATATATATATATATATATATATATATATATATATATATATATATATCATCATTACAGAGTTGATATTAATATTCTGAGGGTTATCATAAAAAAATATATGAAAAATAGGTGGTGATTGCAAATTTCGTTAAATGAAATTATAATTTCGCATCTTTGGGTCTTAAAATATCTCCATAATACATTTTCTTTCGATTTGAAATTTTTATTATAAATGAAATAACTTATTCTCGAGACTTTTCGTTCTCCATTTTCCCACTGGGCACTGTTCGTTCCTATTAATGCTCCTAAACGTATGCTTTGCACTAATAACAAATAATCATTCCCATACATTCTCTAGTCACGATTCTGATGCATTTCTTTGACCAACATCGTCACCGTTTGTTTTTTGTGTTCTCTCAACAAACTGGGTCTGTCCGTAAAATGTGCAACGCAGCGGCAAGAGCGGCATGAGCAAATGCGAAAACAAAAGTGAATTTGTTAGAATAGAAAAAGAAAACAAAATCGATTTTCATCAGACCGTCACAATTTGTTGACTGGCCGGCATTTCACGTGTTTTGTAGCACACGATGATCTAATAAACTAACGATACGATTGTTGCATCAGGTTAACTGACCTATGTCCATAGCAAAACAGATACCGAGTATGGTGGCATTGTCTGGACATCGCTTTTCATTTGCTTCCAACCAACCATTCATATTTCAATGCACTTGTCAGTCAACTGAAGAAAAAAGAAAAACAAAATCAGAAGCAAACAATAGAACAGAACAGGTCCAAAGCAAATGTTCATGCCGGTGTGCAGCAAACCGGCAATGTGTGTGTGAGGTGATTATGTTGTTTTCGTTATTGATGATATGTGATGTTATCGTCTGTGCAACCAGCACGTATCATCATCACCATGCCGGCAATCGCAAGATATCTCCTTCATGGGTAGGTGCAATGAGGTGGATCGCGGTGGTCAACTGTGGTGCGCTTATACACGCGCATCTGTTTATTTTCCCAACACTCTGCTGCTTCATTAGGTTTTATTACGATCCATGTGTGAATTGCAATGCAAATGTTAATGACGCTGTTAAAGACCGGCCCTTATTTCCTATGGAATTGGAAACAAGAAGGCGTTTATGCATCAATTATTTCAGAATGTGTTATTTTTCGGATCCTTAAGAAGAAACTTACGTTTCTTAGTTCATTTGTACAAAAAGGTTAAATTTCATTATATATAAAGGAGTACCACCAAAATATTTAACAATATCCACTTTTAGGGACTCGTTAATGGTCAATTGTCTTTAACGAAATAAAATCGTTGTCTCCAAGTTGTTTTCCCCCACAAATGGAATTGTGTAAAAATCCATACTAGAAGTTCTTTCTGTATAGCTCCACTATATAGTATAGCCCACATACAACGGTACCCCCGATATTCGATATTTTGACGATTATAGGGACGGACATCATTCACCATTTAGGCATCTTTTTATACGATTTTTTTGATATGATTCTTTTATGCCAAGAGATTTGACAACATTTGTCAAAATCGGTCCAGCCATTCTTGAGATATAAGCATTCTAGTTAACATCCCTTTTCTTTGTATATACACATTGTATATATTTCGCTATATATATCCGATTATTTACTCGGCAACTACTTAATAATATATACGTAATATTGACCATAACCCCACCTCCATGCAAAATTTCGGGCCAAGAACGGGCCATAATTGCAACCTGTAGAGTGATTACAAATTAACATGGACAGTCGGACGGACATACGTAGGTAGATCGACTCAGCTCGTCGAGATAGGAAGATCCATATATTTTTTCCTATGTGGGAAACCAATATTTCGAGGTATTTCATAATTTTTGGCCCGATCAAACTTATAATACCCTCAACACATAGTGTTGTTTTGTATAAAATCCCGCAACTGAGCCGGACAAAATGGCAAAATATGTATTTTTTTAATTTAATCACGCGGTGACGGTAATGTGGGGGGGCGGTTTCGATGATTTTGTTTGGATTCTTAATCTCATATACA